GGCTGGATCCAGCCTAAATGCCTTCTAAAACTGGCCCGCAGACTGTCTGGGAATCAGCATGTTTTTACATGAGTAGAATGTGTGCTTTTATTTAAAATGCATCTCTGGGTTATTTGTGGGGCATAGGAATTTGTTCATTCCCCCCCTCCCAAAATATATATATATACTCCAGCCTCCCACAAGGTCTGAGGGACCGTGGACCAACCCCCTGCTGAAAAAGTTTGCTGACCCCTGGTCTATGCTGTCCATCATTATTCCAAAGAAACCAAACCTGGGTATTGCGCCCTCTAAGGCAAGTATTATACCCTCTCACTGGGGCCTCCATGCGGCACGCTGATGTCACAAGCCGGAGCTGCGGGGCAGTGGCAGGACATGTGTGTGCTCTTCCTTGAGCTGGGGAGTGCCACCATGGCCGCAAGTCTCACTGTCCACCCACCTCTTCCACTGGTGCTGCACGCCGTGTGGCCAAGGGATTCAAGGGCTCATCCTCTCCCAGTTCTTGCTCAGCGTGCTGCTCAGGTGAGGCAGGTGGGCAGGACAGGGAGCAGCTGCAGAGGTGTGCCTAAATTTTTTTGCACCTGGGGCAATTGCCCTGGTAGGTCCCCCTTCCCCATGCTATGCCTCTGCCTGGAACCCCTGGAATCTCTCGCCACTTGAAGATTGGGGTAGCATGCAACAGTATATAAAGCATTTTGGCCACAACGCCTGAAGAGAGGGCACAGCCACCCAAAGAATTAAATCAGCGGTATTTGGATGCAATGACCTGCCAAGGAAGCTGCAAGGCGAAGCAAGGGAGGATACTATATCTGTTTAGGTATGTTAAGGAATGCTGTTAGAAAATTGGTAAAGAATGTAAATAACAATTATAGCATCCAAAACTTCCCAGGACAAACAGTGTGTTGGGGGAGGGATTTTGCTTTGAAATTCCCTTGCTATTACAACATTTGCAGGCTTTTTCACAGGCTTGTAATATAGTACATTTCAATTATTAATGTTTTTAATGTTCTGGTGGAATAATTTTTATTGTGCATTTTAATTATATATGGATTTCATAACTGATCTTATAGTTGTAAATGGGTAACAAACCACATGGGCATATACATTTAATAATAACAATAACAATAATAATATAAATAGAAAAAATGATGTTTATTTATAAATCATCTAAGTCAGAAATGAGCACTGAGATAAATTTATGAGGGTGAGATAAATGATTCAGAATTGAGAACAGCCAAAAAAGAAGAAATAGTGGCCAATTGCAACCATGCACAAATAATGTATATGTAATAATATAAAATAGACCCAAGTCATTTCTACCTGCACAAATAATTTACAATAGAAATAAGTATTTTCTATTGTAGATTATTTTCCCTGTAAAATAGCTATATCAGTTATTTGCATTTACATTTAACTTGTAATATTGGCTTAAAAAAGTGTTTTATTGTCATTTTGCATTAAATCCATTATTATAGGTTTTATATTTCTGAAATTAAGGGCACAACCCTAGATCTGTCAGGGTTATGGAGTTAGAATCCAGTGGATCTCTGGCTGAGCCAGGATGTTCCAAGCTCAGCCGGGTTACACCAGCATAACTCCCTCACCTGGCCCAAGCAGAGATATGCCAGCATCTCTTGCCCATCCTGGCTCAGCTGGGACACAGCATGGCCACGTGACCCTGGGAACCCAGCATAAGTTGAGCCATCAAAAAGAGTGGTTTAAAAGGCTTGTTTCTCCTAGGCTTAGCCCTGCTCCTGAACAGAGACTGGATCTGGCACAGCTTTTGCCAGCTACACTGCAGCTGGAATAACTTACACTGGCTCCCCATAGTTAGGCTTGCTCCCCCAATTCATTACATTGTGGCTTATTGTATATTATTTCTGCAAAATGGCAATTCGTGTTTGGTTTTCATTGCTTTTGTTCACAAAAGAGCTATCTCAGTCCTTGTTGCTGTCCTTGGTGAAGCACGCAGCTTCCAGATGGATACCGCCCCTCCAAAAAAACCCAACAGATTAGGACTGTGACACAGAGGAGAGAATTTCACCTTTTTAACCCACCCAATGTCACACCTGAGGCTGCTGTTTGCCTCCTGAAGGCACTGTTTGCTGCATCATTTTCTGCTGGGGATTCCAGTACACATAGTCCCAGTGGAGAAGACTCCCCACAGTGGCCTACCCACTGTCATCCCCTTCCGCTGCCCTGCCCTAGATGAACTTGAGGGGCACGGGAAGTGGGTGCTATGGGCAGTACTCACTGGGCCAAGATGAGCAGAGCCCTCATTTGCCTGTGAAGAGGGATGTTAGCTTTTGCAAGCACTCTGTTGGAAAGCTTGCAATATCCTGATTTCCTCCCCCTCCCTTTTTTTTTTTTTTACAAATGTTATTAAAACAACTAGAAAAGGTTCAAAAAGAGCAATCAATTTATAAAAGCCTGGAGCACATCCCCCATGAGAAAATGCTAGAGTGTTCAGGGATTGCTATTTTTTTAAAAGGGGGGGAGAGATGACTAAAGGGGAATATGACAGAGGTTTATCAAATTGCGGAAGAATGTGTAGAGAAGTTTTTTCCTCTCTAATTAGAACTCGGGGTCACTAATGACGTTGATGGAGAGTTAGATTTAGGACACACAAGGCGAAGTACTTCTTTACACAATGCATAAATTTAAAGTATTTGCTGCCACAACGTGTGGTGATTATAGCTCTTAGCTTAAATGGTTTTAAAGGAAGATAGGACACATTCATAGATGATAAATCTGCCAGTGGTTGTTAGCCATTGTTCAAAGGGCCCATGCCTCATAACAGGAGTTGCTAGAGGGAAGGTGGTTTTTTTAATGGCCTGCTTAAATATGAGCTTAAATATGAAACAAGATGTTGGACAAATCTACTTATCATCTCATCCAGTAGCTCCCTTCTTATGACAGCCCAATTGCTCCAGCTTTCAATTTGTGGCACACTGTGATCCAAATAACATAAATTAATTGGGGATGGTAAGAAGGCATGGAGGGAGCAGGTTTGGGCCAACAGGTTATATTTAAATACCCTTTGGTCCCTCCAGCCTATAAACCTATAATCAGGTTTCCCAGATAGAGTATTGGTTTACTGTGGACATTACAGTGGAAGGTGTTACTGTAATAGCTACACAGCAGTGGCTGCAAACTGTTTGGGCCAATGGGCACATTTCCCAACTGGGGAAACTGTTGTGGGCACCACACACAGATACCCTTCCCTTACGGGCCAGTGTTGCCAGACTCTAGGGTTGTGCGCTCATCTCACTCTATAGGCCGGGAGCCAGCGCTGTCCGCAGACACTTCCGGGTCACGTGGCCAGCATGACAAGCTGCATCTGGCGAGCCAGCGCAGCACACGGAACGCCGTTTACCTTCCCGCTGGTAAGCGGTCCCTATTTATCTACTTGCACCCGAAGGTGCTTTCGAACTGCTAGGTTGGCAGGCGCTGGGACCGAACGACGGGAGCGCACCCCGCCGCGGGGATTCGAACCGCCGACCTTTCGATCGGCAAGTCCTAGGCGCTGAGGCTTTAACCCACAGTGCCACCCGCATCCCTTTGGGCACCACACACACACAAACATATAACCCACACCCTATTCTACTGGATACATGCTTCTTTCATGTTTAATCATTGGAAGGAGGAGCACCAAAGAAAGCCTCTGTGGGAACACATGCCCCTGCAGAGGAGGAGGAGGATGATAATTATAATTTAATTGCATATTAAAAACATGATAAAACATCAAACATTAAAAACTTCCCTAAACAGGGCTGCCTTCAGATGTCTTCTAAAAGTCAGATAGTTGTTTATTTCCTTGACTTCTGATGGGAGGGCATTCCACAGGGAAGGTGCCACTACCGAGAAGGCCCTCTGCCTGGTTCCCTGTAACCTCACTTCTCGCAGTGAGGGGGAACCGCCAGAAGGCCCTCGGAGCTGGAATTCGGAGGGCTGAATGATGGGGCTGGAGACACTCCTTCAGGTATACTGGGCCGAGGCTATTTAGGGCTTTAAAGGTCAGCACCAACACTTTTAATTATGCTTGGAAATGTACTGGGAACCAGTGATGTCATGATGTCATGATGGTGACCCCTCCATACAGTGGCTCCAAAAGGATTGATGCAGTGCTGCTAAATTACCACCAGGCATGCATGCCTACAAATGGATTTTGGCTGCAGCTTGGATGAGCATCTGATCTCTATGAGCCATATGGCAAACAGCATTGTCAACCCAGTACGTACTGTAATTCATACAAGGGAAGTGTCAGGCAAGCAGCTGCATCACTGCACTGTCTCTTTTCTTTTTTGCTTTCCGGGATGGTTCTCACATTTACAACTTGACTGGCAAACGTGTGGGGCAAATGACTAAAGACAGAAGGAACCCAAATATCCATCCATTTAACCATGCCAAAGACATGCTGCCCATCACAGGTTACCCTCCCAAATCCACCTGTGCAGTGCAACCCAGATGCCAAGCAAAGGCAGGTGCAATTCAGAAAGATACCTCCTGATGGATGAGCAAGCTTAAAAGAGAAGAAAACCAGAAGGTTCACCAGCCAATCTTGAGAGACAGGAATCGGTCTCAAACTTGGGATCAGTCAGATTCTCAGAGTGAGCCAGAACGTTCGGCATTGAAAGTCAGCAAGTAATTAATGAAGGCAAGAGTGCCTTTGAGCACACACAGAGTGTGATTCCCCTTGCCACACAGTAACCACAACCACCTTCCCATACTTCTGGGTGGGGTGGTGGTGGAAGGTACAGCATGCACTGAGCTGCTCCCTTTTCCTCCTTTGGCAGAGTCCCTAGGCCTTTGGGCTACTTGAAAGATAAGACATTCCACACGTGAAGCCACTTCTACGCAGGACAGAGCTGCACCTGGACTTCTGTCTGTCACGCAACTTCTAAAGGCCACAGAAGCCCTGTAAGAAACGAATAGGAAAGCAGAGCGGGAGGGACGTCAGCCAACCCGGAGGCAGCAGGTTTCAGCGCTGGCCCTCAACTCACCTTTGCAGCCACAGCAATGGGGAGGCGGTCCTCCTGCTGCCCCTGCGAAGCGCTCAGCAGGGCAGCGAGAAACAACAGCGCGAGACACCCGGAGCCGGGGCGCGCGGGCTCCTTCATGCCTCACGGCGCGCTTTCCCCTCAACTCTCTGGCGCGCGCTCTCCCTCTCGGGTCCTCCTCTCTCTCTCGCCTTCTCAGTGCCACAGGTTGCGCGGTCCGCAGCTCCGTCCCTGACAGACCCGCTGTCACCATTCACGGACCAGGCGCGACGGCTCCTCCTCCTCTTGCCACTTTCCCTCAGCGTCGAGTGAGTTCCCCCGACGGTGCGGCGGCGCGGCGCTGGCGCCTCTCTCTCTCTCGCTGCTTGATTTGCGTCCCCCGAGAGAAGTCCGCGTATGGGCAGCCCCTCGGGATAGCCCGGGGCGGGGCCGAAGCTGCGGGAAGGCGCGTGGAAGCTGGAGGTGCGAGGGGGAGGAGGGGGGGAAGAGTCGAGGGCGGGGCGGAGCAACCCGCAAAGAGAGAGAAGCGAAGCGCGAGAGCCGCTTCACGCCTGGCTTGGCGGCGCTTGCTTCGTTGGGGCCGGGAGAGCGCGGCGGGACGCCGAGGCGCGGAGACGCGAGCGGCTCCTCAGGGCTTGGTCCCCTTGAAGTGAGGTACATCAGAGACTCCCGCGGGAAGGGAATGCGTGGCGCGCGCGGGAAAGCGAAGGTGTCTAGGGAAGTGGGGCGCGTCTTGTCAGGCACCTGTGGCGACGTTCTCTGCGGGAAAGGGCGTCTTTTCCTCTCAGCCTTTTTCTATGGTGGTCCTTCAGTTTCCACCCAGGAACTTCTGAGCCCTAAAAAAAAAGTCTCTTGGATAAAATCCCACCGTGATACTCCCACGCCTCCCCTCCCCCCACGCCCCCGGCGGAACAGGGACGGGAGGTAAAGCAGCATAACCGTCAGACATTCGCCTAAGCATCCAGTACAGCTGGCCGCGTGCTGTGATCTTTGCTGGCTCTCCGGGGTTTGTTTTCCTGTCAGGCATAGGATGAAGTAGGCTGTTGCCTGTGGGCGCTTGGATAAAAAGGTGGCGGGGGGCGCGCATGACAACGGGGCAGTTTCTCGGGTCCGTCAGCAATAGGCAGTAGCTGTCCCATACGGGGATCAAACCTGGAACCTTGGCGTTATCAGCGCCACACTCTAGCCAACTGAGCTATCTGGAGGTACATAATTCCCCTTGTGGAAGCTAAGCCGGTCTGGACCTGGTTAGTGACTGGTTGAGTGACTGGCTGGGATCTACACTGATGCTACAGCATGTTCCAGGGCAGGAGAGAGGCAGGATATAAATGCAGGACAATAAATATCACTAGGAAGCTTGGTATGTATGCTTACAAAGTACCGTAACTCTTGCACTGCAAATTGATATCTGAAGGGAGGCATCTCAAATATTTTTGCTTTACTAACCTGCATAGATATTCAGCTTTCTCCAGTGCTAGGGTGGGGCTGGCAAAGCACAATCTAAGCTCTGCTTCAGGCAGGAAAAAAACTTTGGCCCACCTAGATCCAGGAGGCACAATTTCCACTGACTTTCCAGGTAGAGACTTGAAACATATCAGGCATACTGAGCCAATGCACATGACATTGTAGGCTGCCATGGCTCCAAGTAGTCCCAGATGGAATGGCCAATGGTCAGGGGTGATGGGGAGTTGTTGTCCAGCGAGCAACATGGGGAGTTGTTGTCCAGCGAGCCAACAAGCACCATGTTGGCTACCCCTGATGTAAGATATACAGGCACTAGGCCAATCCTACCAAGGCAAGCAAAAATAATATGGCACAGTCTTACACAGAGTGTGATCACTGGCCCATGTCACCCAGTATCCCCTATTTGAACTGGCAGCAGCTCTCAGTGGGGTCTCAGGCCGGGGCTGAGCTGCTACGTGAAATTCCGAAAGCTGCAGCGACCCTGGAAAGCTCAGTTGGTTGGAGCGTGGTGCCGATATTGCCAAGCTTGCAGAGACTCTTGAGACAGCTGCATATTCCTGCATTGCAAGGGGTTAGACTAGATGATCCTCAGGATCCCTTCCAGCATCTATGAAGATGCCAGTGGTTGAACCTGGAACCTCCCATTAGCTATTCCTGTCTAGCAGCAGCAATCCATGCACATAGCACAGCCCAAAACTGTAGTGCAAGTGTTACCACACCCATTATAGCATCTGTTCCTTTCCTTTGTGCACCATCACTAGAAAGTTGGCATTGGAGCATGAACAGTCTGTTCCATCAACCCCATTTGCAACCCATGAACCAAATGGGTAACTTGAAGGGCTGGTGTTCTGGGCTGCATCATCTGTGGGGATTGATCCCTGCATATTCCTGCTTTGAGAAGGGGATTGGACTAGATGATCCTCAGGGTCCCTTCCAGCACTTATGATTCTGCATGCACCTCAATGTGCAAAGGAAATATTGCAGTCTTTCATAACCTTTTTGAAAATGGCTGCGGACGACGCTTGTGTGTGAGGCACAGAAGTGTGTCCTGAATAAATTTATGTCAGCTTTTCTTCTGATATCTCAGTCTTCAAGGGAGATACTTTACAAGTAAGCAAAGTACAGTGGTACCCTCGGGTTACATACGCTTCAGGTTACAGACTCCGTTAACTCAGAAATAGTACCTCGGGTTAAGAACTTTGCTTCAGGATGAGAACGGAAATCATTCTCTGGCGGCGCGGTGGCAGCAGGAAGCCCCATTAGCTAAAGTGGTGCTTCAGGTTAAGAACAGTTTCAGGTTAAGAACAGACCTCCAGAATGAATTAAGTACTTAACCCGAGGTACCACTGTATGTTAAATAAAGAAGTTAAACCAATAGCCTCACTTTGAAACAATTTATGTATAAGTACATGCTGCATTCCTAATTTTACTGAGTTGGAATATGTACATTGGCATGATCATGTCTAGGAATTGAAATACCAAGTCAGTTATTGGTGGGGTAGGATGTGCAGCTTATCTGGCGGCAGGTCACTTGGGGACCGAAGTACATGCTATGCGTACTGTGTGATCACACTGGATGTTAGTTTTAAGCAGGCGCTAAAGGGGTGGGTGGGTAGGGAGTTCTGATCAAGATTAGGACCATGGCATGTGGAAAATTACCCTTAATTCCTGCATTGCAGTCCCAAGGAAAACATCCTCTCTCCCCAGAGCTGCTATCAACACAGTGCATTTAACATAACATATAGCTTGGCATTTGGCTTTGCAGACATGACAGCTGCTAGGGAATAGTGTCTATTGTGAGTCTATATTTTTAGTCTGAATCCTTATACAGAACTGCTACCGGTCTTTTTGCCTGGAAAAGAAACAACGTGAATTTGTGTGTACACCATTATATCTTATATTATAAAAAGGGGTGCATTATATCAGTAAGTTTTATGTACATTCTTGAAGAAAATGTACAGCTCTTCAGGATGCCATGTAACCTGTTAACTTGCACAGGCTCACATGAATAGTCCCTTATGAACATTAACTTTTCATTGGAATTTACCATGGGGCTTATAGCAGTGGCTGTTCCTTGGCCTCAAGCACCAATCAATTACTGCCTTTCACCACAATAGCAGAAAGATTTGGCCTTGACTAACACAGCCATTGAGTTACCCTGTCATTTCCCTGCTCACAACAGATTGAGCTATGGCAGCAGGTGCAGTAAGATGATCCTGCTGTCTTGTCTGTAAGGCTTTTTGCATTAACTGATCCAGGGAAAGAAGGTGTTACTTCCTGAAAACCAGCCTTGAGTACAAATTGGGAACGATGCTTCCATTTAAGAATGACATACTTCCAGTAGTCCCCTACTCCTCTGTTCTATTTAATATTAAGCTATACTTGCCTGTGTTTTTCATGTTTATATTGACAATGCCAGAGTCCTGTGGACATGTTATCCCACTGAAATCTAATAGGCTTAAAACGCATTTCAAAAGAAGTATCAATAACCACGGACAGCAATGGTAGCATACTTTCAGCACCAGCGGATATATTTGTATTGGTTTGCTAAGTGCATCCACACACTATGATTGTGTATCTAGGGGAAAGCTGGGGTAGCCCACATTTCACAGTGGTGAAGTCTCTCCTTGGGATTTCTGAAGAAAGTGAGCACGGCAATGTCTTATAAGTAGAGTTCCCCTCAAAAATGGTCTGGAAACTGCCAGATGGTCCAAAATAGGGCAGCATCTCGGATAGGCCGGCCCCACCTTATTACATCAATATTTTGTCATCTGCACTGGCTTCCAGTTTATCTCCAGGCTCAGTTCAAAGTGCTGGTAAAGCCTTAAGGAAGCTTGAAGCCAGGTTGCCTGAAGGCTCGTTTCATCCCATACATCTATACTTGCCTAGGGTCTAATACAATATTCAGAGGGTCTTCTCAACTTGCTTTCCTGACACCAGTTGTGGTATTTGCTGCACTGAATGAAGAATTTGTAAATATATTATTCCAGGGGTCAGCAAACATTTTCAGCAGGGGGCCGGTCCACTGTCCCTCAGACCTTGGGGGGGGGGCCAGACTGTATTTTTTTTGGGGGGGATGAATGTATTCCTATGCCCCACAAATAACCCAGAGATGCATTTTAAATAAATGCACACATTCTACTCGTGTAAAAACACCAGGCAGGCCCCACAAATAACCCAGAGATGCATTTTAAATAAAAGCACACATTCTACTCATGTAAAAGCATTCTGATTTCTGGACTGTCTGCGGGCTGGATTTAGAAGGTGATTGGGCCGGATCCGGCCCCCGGGCCTTAGTTTGCCTACCCATGTATTATTCCTTACTTTTTCTTTTTCAGAAACACAATAACATATTAGGTTATTGTTGCTATTATTCTTTTCTTTTTTTCTAAATTTAATCTACTTTTATTCTGTTTTAGCTGTTTTTTGATGTTTAGGTTCTGTTTTTTTATATTGTATGGTTTTTGGTAGTATTCCACTATGTTTTACTCAGAGCAGAGCCATTGAAATGAATGAACATGATTAAGATCAAGTCTGTTGATTTCAGTGAGTAAAAATTGCGAACCACCAAGAGAACCTTTTGCTAACTGGTAGTAAAGAGATGATGCAAGTAAGTAACATTAAAGAAATCCTTCCTGAAAGATGTGTTCACCTCCGCAACTATGTTTCTAGTGCTATCCAGACAGACGTTGTGAATAACAATGCCCATCTGCCACTATTTTCTTTTTGGAAGAATTAGACTGCTGTGAATATGTGAAAGAGTAAGTTGCAGCCACCCTCCTCTTCCTTCTGTGTAGACTCACTGGGACATGATTTTGGGGTGGGGAGCATAATAAATAGATATATAAGATTATGCACTGTGTGGAGAGAGTGGAGAGGCCTGTCTTATGATATCATAGCTCATCCTCTGGCAGATGGAACAGACAAGACCAATAGTGGGAAGGCAGCTCCAGCACATGCTATAGAGAGAAACAAGGGGCAGATGATGCTCATCAAACCGGGAAAGGTAGCCC